GGTAACAGTTAAAAATAAGCTAAACGTTTATACAAATGTTGTATAAAGTTAGTACCGGTAGTCATCGGGTTAACTATTATACACTGATGTATGTTTTTTGCAGGTGGTTAATGAAAATGTTCAAAAATGTAGCATTAATTTCTTGACGGCCTAATATATTCTAGCATTTTATATATAAATCCAGAGCAGTTTCACTATTTTGTACTCTACCATATCATTACCACTGATACTTAATGAAAGCAAATAAATCAAATCAAAGTTAGTCTAACACATTATTTTGTTGGAAATATTACCTGATGGTTTGAAAAAATAGCAAAATAAATGTGTGAGATAATGAATCTTCAGTCACTACCTGCTCAATAAAAACTTGCATTTTTCTTGTTCAGAAATTAAATCTGGTAGTCCTATCTAAAACTAAAAGACAGCAAGTAAAAATCACCATTCTAGCATATAAAGTGCTTGCTTTTTGCTTGCTAAGTACAGCATTAAAAGCTCAGTATTAACAAGCATTGAGCTACACATGACTTGTTTAAGTAATGGAACTGGATCTTTGAACAATAGAATGCTTATCTATGACAGTATGTGAAAACATCATTAATCTTGCCTCCGTGGAAGAGAGAAAATTGATATATTCACAAACAATTAAATTATAACATTGATCTGAAATTGGACAAAAAGAGGAGAAGGGTGGACATTGTGTCCTCAACGCTGGATCTGACTGCACTGGAGCTTCCTCCAGAGACACTGTCATTGGGTCATTCACTCTGTTTACAGAACATCTGTTTCTGTTTGAGGTCTTTATTGCATTTTGATAATTAAATACACACTTATAGTCTGCAATATGTATTGGTGCTTTGAGGGCAAGGGCTGCAAGCTTCAACATGTTTGGGAATTTATTTCCATGGTACTTGTTGATCAAGGACCAAAGATCACACATTTTGACCCTTGTGTAGCCCTCACAATGGACTGTAGTCATCAAGTCCTTCCATTCCTCTGGTTTTGGTTGGATCATTTATGGCCTGAGCAGTTACCATCCTGTTACTGGTTTTTGATTTTGGGGCACAGTATTTAGCTATGAGAGTGTCTACCTTGTCTTTGTCCCACTTTGATCTGTCTTCTGCTGATAAGAAAGATATTGATCTGAGACCAAAAGTCGAGATTGTCTGTCGGCTGGTCAACAAAAATGGTGTTTATGTTGTCTACATTACACGTGCTTTCAAGAATATGCTGCCCCTTGTATAATAGCTTTTCTAACTCAAGAGTCCAACTGTACATGCTCCGAGTTCCTTCAAATAGCCTGGGATCTCACTGCTACCATTTTTCAGTTTTATCAAGTCACTCTACTTGCACCTTCAGAATGAACTCAGCTGTGGCCTTCTTCTGGAACACCAAGCACAGCAATGAGACAATTCAAAACATACCAGTGCTTGTAACAACTTCCACTGGAAAATAAGATGTGTGGTGCTACAAATGTAAGACATGCATAATGTTCAATAAACTAATATATGGTTTATTTAAAACTGAAGAAAACGATGCAAATTGTGTATTACAATGTAGCACAATGTACAAACTGTAATTTTACACCTTATTGAACATTAAAGGTTATAGTTGTACAATTGTAAATTAGAAACATAATACAATGTAAAAGAAAAAAGTAAATTTACACTTTATTTAGCAGTAAAATATCCTGAATTGGCAGTGGGTGCCCCTTGCTGTTTGCCTTCCTTCTGGATGACAGTTCAAAATTAGGACAGTAGCAGGTAGCCTTAGTAGCTTTACCATAACTCAAAAACAGAGAAATACATATTAACCCCTATGGCTGAAAGGACAAGCATGTTTGGTGGCAATGGGAATTAAACTTGAGACCCTTAAGTCACAAGGCATCACCCCCTAATTGCCAGGTTATGCTGGCCACAGCTGAACAAACTTGAATTAATAAAAAAATAATGAGAAACTATACTGGCCATATTATGATTACAGGATAGTAGGAATAATCAAAAATAGTAATAATTGGAAACCCTAATTTTTATTAGTTAATTATATTTATGAATCATGACACTAATTGATTAATCTGAAACATTTATTGAAAACAATAAGCAATAATGACAATATTTGGATTATTATCAAGTTGGATAATTAGGTAGTTGAAAACAATAATAATCAGAAATACTAATTTTGATTAGTTCATTATTTTTGTAACATTAATTGATTATTTTATGTGACAGTAATTGATATAACTGGTGCTCATTGGTAATTGATTAATCAAGTTAATTGACTGTCTCTATTCTGGAATATTGCCAAATTATTACTCCATTTCTTAAGTTGTGAATTTGATATCATAGACTTGTTTTATTCTATCCCTAGAAGGGAGCATTGTAGAATTTAAGAAAAATAATTTTGGTATAATTCTTGAAAAAAGCTTGAATCCTTCAATTGAGTGTTGAGTTGTACTAAAAACTTAATAGTATTCTGAAATCTGTGCATAGAAATATTCAATTTAAAATTTGCAAGTAAAAAGTAGATTTGTAAAATTCAATATTGGTAGACATGAGTATAGTGATGTTGCTAGGGCTTTCAATAAATTGGGGGAAAATAACAAGTACAGTTAGTAGGCATCAAAATATGAATGGTCATTTGCTGATATTAAATTTTTTTTTCAAAGTTTCAGTTTTTAACATCACTGGAACCTGGAATAGTTGTTGCTTTTACATACTTATATGAACAACAGTCTCTCTGCATTGCTATGGAAAATGGAAATTTGTTTCTTGTGAACATATTCACAAAGGCAGTAAGTATTTGACATTATAATCTTTTTGAGCCTCATATTTTTAGTTTTGTTCAGTTTCATTAATTCTGTGTGATCAAAGTTTTAGTGAGTAACTGTACATGTGTAATATAATTTTCATTGGTGAAAATCTAGTAACTGCCTTTGTTGTAAGGGATGAAATATTTCATATTCAATTAAACTTTATTAAGTCTAAAATATAGTTTGGTGTATATTCATTACAAGGGGCTGTTTTGGGCTTCAACAGAATTGTGATTTTTTTACTTTTGTTGGTGATAAAATCTAGCATTTGGCAATTTTGTTGCACCAACATTTAATGTCAGTAGAATTTCAAAATCAGTGTTACATTTACATTGTAGTTATGTGACATCTGTTTACTGTACAGGTACAGTCACATTTTTTTTTCACTTATTTGCTTTCATGTGCCATACAAGTGTCAGTTCAACAGTTATAAAATAATTAAGATTATGGAATAATTAACAAAGGATATTGTATCCAACTGTGTAAAAACTAACCAGAGCCATCAGATGTCATAAGTATGTCCAGTGAAACTGTTCCTGACATATCAAAACTTAATCAAGAATTTTATTTGTTGATCAGCAACTTCTTAGTGTAACAGCTCATGCACCACAGATGCCAAGCTCAATACAAGTTCTCAGACAGTTGGAAATTTGGGCATCCATGGCTGAGATAGGATAGCAGAGTAAAAGCTATGTTTTCTGTCATTTATATAAAATAACAAGTGGTTACTTTATTCACAACTGAATGTGATGCTTAGGAAAAGAGATTATAACCATCCACAAATACAAAAGAGGCATGTGATATGTTCATTTTTTGTTTTTATTTTTTACATCAATAAATGTTTGAAATCAAAAAGTAAACAGCCTCAACCCATTTGCTAAATTTTTCTTTCAGTTATAGATGTATAGTATTTTTTTAAAATAGCTTTAGTATTCCTTAAACCCCTTAATATCATCTTTTCATCAGTTTCTTGAATTTTTTTTTATACCTGCTAGTTTTGAATTGAAAGATAATAATTTTAATCTTCAATCATTAGTTAGATATTTTCCAGTGCCTTTTAGTCATATAATTTACTGTATTAAGAATGTGGTTACAACTTTTTCATTTACTTGAAAAAAGATGTAATATTCATTCTGTATTTAGATGGCCATTTTAGTTTATTCATGAATGATGTCAAAAAAATTAAATGGAATCTGAAACTAATTCAAGTCAAACAAGAATTAAATTACTTGAGAAACTTTTAAAAGTAAATGAATTTACAATGAATAAACTAAACATTCCATCCTAGACAAACATATTAGGATTAGTGTAGAAGATAACAATAAAAGCTTCTTTTGACTTTAACTCTGTTTTCCCCAAGTGATCTTCTGAAAAAGCCTGTTGTATATTAACGTAATAACAATCATAGCTGCAAATGAAAAATTCTCAAGAAATAATGTAGTACTATTTTGTGTCATCAGTTATATTGAAAATGAATAGTACTTATAAAAAATATATCAATATAGAAGAAGAAACAAATAGTGCATTATACAGCAGTGTTATATATATTTTTTATTTTGCTTTGCATGGTTCATAAATCTGATCTTGTTCATTGTTCAAAAGATGGCTCGTAATTTTGAAAATTTCAAACAGATTTTCGAGGGTGACAATTATTTTTGACTCCAACTTTTTATGAGCCAGAGCGGTCCCTGACTACATTTATTGAAATTTGTGGTTAATTAATGTGAATTATCACAAATAAAGATTGTTTATTCTAATGTAATTATATGAAATTTTTCTGGTTACACAAATACAGGTTGAATGTGTTGGTTTTGTGCAAGGTGGGCTGCTTGCAACAAGTTGGAGTCCTGACCAAGAAATTATTATCTTTTTAACAGGTAATGCTATTAATATTGTATTAGTGTGTTATTTATAATTTGGGTTGTTTACTGATAAAAAAAAAACTTCAATGTTTGCAATTGATAGATATATATATGGAATTATTTTTGCTCTTGTTTTTATAAAATGCATTTTACTCGAGCCTAAAATAAAATAATGTTTATTTGATATTGGAGACAGACTTGCTACAAATTCTAGAATTCAGCAACTTTTTGCAAGACTTTTTGAAAAGAAATTTCTATTTACTTTATTTTGCAGAAATATTTAGTAAGAAATGGCTTTAAGATGAAACAAGAAATGTTATGAAACTCACGTTGTGTAAACAATGGCCCTGAAAGATGAAATCATTAAAATAGTACACACTATAACTTTGAATCTTCTTATTCTGATAAGGTACATTACCTCCTCTCACATAAATAGCTATTCTCATTCAGTGTTGACTTCTACATGCAAAAATTTTTTTTTCATATGCCACAAGTTTTGAGCTTCCACATACTCCACAATCAACATGGTTCAATTGCTTTTTGCATGCAACTCATCATGCGACAACCCTCCATCAATAGGAGTGTGACAAACCTTCCTGATGCATGCGATGAACTTGAGGTTAAGCCGGTATGATTCTCTTTCCTACCCCCACCAAATGGCTGGTTTTGAAATTACAGTTGATTTGCCTCCATTATGATCCTCTTTCTTATCCCCACATGAACGTTGGTTACCAGTGGCTGGGTTTTGGTTTGTAGTATGATCCTCTTTCCTATCTTCACGTGGATGTCAGTTCCTGGTGGCTGGCTTTTGGATGCAGTTGACCTGCCATGTATGGTCAACCATGCCCTAGCCATTCTACACCTTGGGTCACATCTATTTTACTCTCACCTACATTATTGTCATCTGTGGTATCAAGATACAGATATTGGGTGGCTTGAGTCCCTCTCCAACCATTTTTCTCTCCCTTTTGGATGTACTCCTTCCTCTTTCTGCCCATGTCTGTGTCACTTCTTTTTCCACACTGGGTGTAGAGTATACCTGGTACAGAAATGGTGTGGTCTCCTACGTATGATCCTCTTCTATGAGGATCCCCCCTTTTAACACCCTTTTAACCTTCAGACACTTTTGAAGGATGCTTCTTTCTTTCCCTAGCACTGGTCTCTCTACCTATTAAATGTGGAATTCAAGCTATTTATATGAGAAGAGGTGATTTACCTTATTGGAAGTCACATGTGTCAGGAGGGTGTGTTGCACTCTTATTGTTGGAGGGTTTTCACCTGATGATTTGCATGTGAGAAGCAGTTGAACCATATTGATCATGAGTTATTTAGGAGCTCAAGGCTTATGGGATGCAAAAATTTTTTGCATGTAGAGGGCAGAACTGAACGAGAATAGCTATTTATGTGAGAAGAGGTAAGAAAAATAGGAAAATTGTAATGTTCATTAAATGTGCTCCCGATATTTTGTAAACAAAGGTCTGACATATAATTACGATGCAACTACATCATTGACTGCTCTCCATGAAATAATCGACTGCACATGCACTCTGCAGTATAGCTATGGCTGCCTGCCTCCATCATGCCCATGTAAAGACAGTAATTTGTCAGGTAAAGTTGAAATAGAATCTGTCGAACTCCTTCTTTATGATTTGGTATCCAACTTCAAAAACATTATCAGTAGACCACCCTCTTTTCATATGTCAACATATTTATTAGATATGTGGAGCCATTTACCCTAAAATGATTCATGAAACTTGGATGAAAACACTGTTGGATTTATTTCATCATTGAGCCAATCAGTCATATTTTGACCTTTACACGGAGCTATTCTAGCCACACGTCATAATGTAAACAGTGGATTTTTCACAGGATACAATGCACCTGAAAATATTCATATTTTGTGCTCTAAACATGCTCAGAATCACTCTGAGAGCACCTAATTTCCAAATTTTTATGGGGGTCTAATGGTTCTCCCCGAACCCCAGTCGGATTTACTCATGCTACTTGCTCGTAGCCTGCTCTACGGGATTTCAGAGTTGTTGGTTTTTTTCCTATTCATATTCCTGATTAACTCTCTTGCTATGGACCTCATAACCATTTTGTACTCTTTATAGTTTCCAAACTATGACTTTTAACCCTATGATGATGACCTACTAGTTTTGTAAGTAGGTTACATAACTCTTCTGAAAGTTCTTTACAAAAATGAAACTAGTGGATGAAATTGTTTGAAATTTGACATGAATATTCCTAAAAGTATGTAGTTTCAGAAGAGTAATATATTTAATTTTGATTCTTTCTACTATTTCTAATAAAATGTTCTTTATTTAATGTAATTAGTTACACTCTGACTGATTTTTATTTTGAATATAAAAATACTATTATCTTACAGTTTCACATTTTATTTGCATAATCTCTAAAACCTCCTAAATGAATATTATAAGTTTTTAAGATTAATGTTTATATTTTATTTTCCATTTTATTTACTATTTCACTAACTTCTATCTATTGTCATCAAAGTATAGTGCATTGAAATGTTTAAAATTAAGAAATGGAAACATATACATACCTTTTAGTTCTTCATACAAGTCTTTTGAAACTTTTTTTTAATATGCCTAATTTCACATATTTATCTTTCCCCTTATACTTTATTTTTAAGTTTACATTTCAATTCTTTGACTTTTGTTATTTATGCCAATATGTTAGTTGGTCCCTGCGGGGCTTTACTATGGTGACTCCCAGGCTCAGGCTCTTATGCTCGCACATGTGAATGACACCATCTTGTTTTTACACTTTTACAATCCAAGCTACAAAAAGTTAAATATATAAAAATCATTAAACCTTTCAAATATGCATTTTGAAACGCAAATAATACATAACTAATTAAAATGTAAGCGTAAAACCTAAATGCAATCTAACTGTTTATCAAACTAATACACACAAGGTTAGAAACATTTGCTAAGTGCTACGTACACCTAAAGAGAACAATGGACTGAACATCATTTCATCCAACTTGAAAATTAAAACATACACATACATCTACCATTACATTACCGAGATTCAAGAGGATAACCTCCTCTTAATATTGGTTATAAGCATGCCAGTCAACTTCAGACTGTCACATAGCAACACAGATTCGACTTTACAAGTGGGCGTGGCTGACCTTAAACTCAGGAAACATTTACAATGGTTAATTGGGGGAAGAATATCCTCTAGAGGCCTTGAGAAACTAATGTAAAGCATCTGTATTGTATACTTTTGCCATCTGCAAGAACTGACTGCATTCTAAACATCGTTTCTTCTCTACCAGCTCTTAAATTTGAGAAATTGTAATCGTGAGCGTATCACATGACAGTAAAAACAGCAGTTTGAATTGCTGTTTTAGATGTTTATTTTGAAATAAAGGAATAAAACTTACGTAATATAAAACTTTGAATTATAACATACTTGATAATAATAATTTCCTTAAAATGCATTTATAGTAAAGTGGTTTAATTGAATTTTGAATGCAACTCAGTAACATCCACAGAACAGGATTTAAAAATGGTATCATTCATGGAGAGTTAATATAGTATGTGTATTTTTACAAAATTTGGCAGACTTTTAGACATTACAAAGGTTTTAGTACACAAAAAATCAGATTTTTTTTTAATGAAGTATTTTTACTAATGATGTGTCCTTGAACATATATAGTAATTTCTTTTACTATTCCAAGTGCAAAATGATTTCCACATTAGGAGTAATATAGTTTTCCTCATCTCAAAAATCTCACATTTCATTTGCATAATCTTTAAAACCTCCTGTATAAATTTCAAACATTTTTTGAGTAAAACTTTATATTTTATTTGTTATTTTCTCTACTCTAATTCCATAAAAGGTTGGTCGATTTGACCAACTTAATAACCACTAAAAAAATTTTGAAATTAATTTAAATTAATCTTTTTTTCTTTCCAGAATGACTTCAAATTGTAACATGAAACTAGATTTGTTTATCCTAAGTAGCTTTAAACTTGTAACAGTATACATTTATTTATTCTTAAATTTTATTTTTTTATTGCCCTTTGAATCATGTTTACTTATGCAGCTTACATTATGCACAAGCTGCTCGCGAGCATACTTAGTGAAAAATTATTATGATTATTTATCTTACCTTATCAAACTAACTAACTAACCTAACACATTTACTATGTTTGCATTTTAGTTATCTTTTATAAGGATAGATAAAGAATACACATGAAAAACAAGAAATAAACTACTTATCTGGACCTTCTTTCTTTTTTGCTGTCAGCTGTCGATGACACTTAACCCTATTTTTTTATACTAATGGTAACATTGCACTAAGTATTTTTTTATTTAGTTAAATAATTCCATAAAAGAATACAGGATAATAACATGCAAAAAGCAGACAATGTCCCATAACTATCACAATTTTTCTGACTTTCTAACTTTGCAATAAGAGCTGTTATAAGTTCATCTAATCTAGTCGATGTATTTTCCATGGGAATAAAGCTTGAAATGAAAGCAAAATTGACAATTTCCTTTACAGAAAACAATGTAATATAATACATTATTTGATAGATTAAAACCTTGGCTTTCTATTGGTTATAAATAATATAGTATTGAATGTCAGAGAGAACTGTAAATAAATCCTGAAAGAGAGGAAATGACAGATGGGTTTTAATTATAATAAATGCAAAATAATGCATCTGGGTTATCATAGTTTGAATTATAAGTATAATTTGGATGGGAATAACCTTAATAGTGTTATGAAGGAAAGAGATCTTGTTGTAATAATCGATCAGTCTCTAAAGTTATCCAAGCAGTGTGCTGTTGCTAGTGGTAGGGTAAATAGGATTTTAGGTTATATCTATAGAAATATTGAATACAAGTCTAAAGAGGTTGTACTTTCATTGTGCAGGTGAACAACTTGTTAGTCTCTGTTGTTTTGAATAATATGCCATCATGGACTTCAGTAAATATTCATTTCAGTAGTTATGCCATGACTAACCAACTTTCCA